CAGACCAAGGGGACACTGAATGGTTTAATATCAGGAAAGGTGTGCGACAGGGTTGTATTCTTTCACCATACTTATTCAATCTGTATACTGAGGAAATAATTTGAGATTATATGAAGGAATAACATGGCATCAGGATTGGAAGAAGACTTATTAACAACCTGTATTATGCAGATGATACAACCTTGCTTGCTTAAAGTAAAGAGGACTTAAGATACGTACTACACCTCAATATAAAAGCAAAAATCCTCACAACTGGACCAATAAATACAGCAAAATAAATGGAGAAAAAAATTGAAGTTTTCAAAGACTTTATTTTTCTAGGACCAACCATGAATGCTCAGGGAAGCAGCAGTCAAGAAACTGACATATTGCATTGGGCAAATCTGCTTCACAAGACCTTTTTTCAAGTGTTGAAAAGCAAAGATGTCAGTTTGAGGACTAAGGTGTGCCTAACCAAAGCCAAGGTATTTTCAACAGCCTCAGATGCATGTGAAAGTTGGATCATAAATAAGGAAAACCAGAGAAGAATTGATGTATTTGAATCATGGTATTGGAGGATAATATGAAAAGTACCATGGGCTGCCATAGAACAAACAAATCAGTCTTGTTAGAAGTACAGCCAGAATGCTCCTTAGAAGCCAGGGTGGTGAAACTATGTCTCTCATACTTCAGACATATTATCAGGAAGGACCAGCCCATGAAGAAGGACATCATGCCTGGTAAAGTGGAGGGTCATTATAAAAGAGGGATACCTCCAATGAGATAGAATGGCACAATGGCAGCAGTAATGAACTCAAACATAGCAACAATTGTGAGATTGGCACAGGACCGGACACTGTTTCATTGTGTTGTGTATAAGGTCATTATGAGTTGGTACCAACTCTATAGCACCTAACAACAACAGGCTAGAATGGATGGTTTCAGTGATCACAGCATAGCCTTTCAAAATCAGAAGACTCCTGTTATTTGGAATGTGGAGAACTGTACAGTGGGGTGAGAGGTTGGATACTAAGGGGCATGGAAGCTGTGCATGGAGAAGAACAGTAGAGAGAAAACACTAATTAGATACAGACAGTAAAAATGAGGGAGACCCTCAATGAGACAGATTGATATAGTGGAAGCAACATGAGGCTGAAGCGTAGCAGCAGTTGTGAGGATGGCAGTGTTTCATTCTGTTGTGCACAGAGTTGCTATGAATTAGAACTGATTGATGGCACTTAACAACAGGATCCCTCTTATGTGGGTCACACTCAGGTGTCTATATCAGAGACTCTTGATCAAGAGGGGCAGGCCCAAGGTCTAGATGCCCAGGAGGAGTTGAGAAGACCAGCATCAGGCAAAACTATGACTCAGAGCAGAAGGCCCAGGATGAGGTGACAAGCAGGCACTTGGGTACCACTTCAGGATCTTAAGCTTACGTAGGACCGTGTAGGCCATTTCCAGATGCCACTGAGGAGTGAGGAAGGTACTCTAGGTGGCAGTCAAGCGGACTCTGGATGATCCTGGGACTGAGCTGGCTGAGAAAGAGCCCGTGGGAGGAAGCCAGCTGATCACCCAGAGCTCCAGCTTCTGGGGATGGAATGACATAACCAGAAGCTTGGGGGATGGGCCTAGGAACCCTGGTGACACAATGATTAAGTGTTCTGGTTGCTAACCAGAAGGTCTGTGGATCAACCCACAAGCTGCTCCATGGGAGAAAGATGATTTACAGCCTTGAAAATCTTATGGGCAGTTCTGCTTTATTCTATAGGGTCACTATGAGTCAGAATGGCCAGGCCCCAAAGCAACAGGTTTGGTCCTTTGATATATACATATATACATGCATTTTAGTTGAAGGGGCTGCTGTCATGGGGCAGTGCTGGCATTAAGGGCAGAACTAGGGGCAGGGACTGATTTCCAGAGGACAGGGTACCACCTCCTATGGCACTCTCATTAAACAGGGGGCATGGCCTGACTCTGGTGGCTTTTACACCTCTGGGGTGAGGCTGGAGCATGGCCTGACACCCTGGCTGTGGTCCAGCTCTGGGGCCACCCAACCACAGACAGAGGGTCTTGTCTTCCGGGCCTCCTTCGTGCTTTCCAGAGGCTAGGGTTGACAGGAGTAGAAGTCTTCAAGACCAGAAAGAGGGGGTGACAGGGGATGTGAGTGCTCTTCCCCCTCTGGGAAGTCAGTCTCTACAGGGACCACACCCAGTCTCTATCAGGGAAGGTGACAAAAGGCCAAAAGACTTTCAGGAAGGAGCAGGAACTGCAGAGGCCTTAGGAAATGTCCCCCTGGTGCACACTTCCAGCTGCCATCACCACAAGTCAGTGGCTTGTGCCTCTTTGGCCTCAAGGACTTTAAGTCTGCAAGGGCCTGACAGAACAGGAAATGCTGTCAGCTCTTTCCACTGACGAGGCCTTTGAAGAATTTTGTCTCTCGGGCTTCCCGCCCACTCAGGCCCTCAGCTGCTCAGTTTGGGCCTTTCCAAGCTATCTTCAAACCACTACCTCATGTGAGCAATATAGCAACCTCAGGGGCACAAATGACTCTACCCATTTTTCAGAAGAGAAAGCTGAGGCTCCAAGAAGACTTCTATAAATTAAATGGCTAGCTCAAGGAGTTATTGGGGTGCAAGCAGAGTTGGAACTTGAACTTAGGTCTTTTTACACCATGTCTTTTCCATTAGGTGATCCCAGAGAGTCTGCTCAGTAAGACTGAGAAACCATCCTATGAGTCAAGATAATAACAAATGGGTATCAAGCACTTACTAAGTTCCAGGATTCATATTACAGATAAAAAATCATGGGAGAGAAATGCAACTATCCTTGTTTTAGGGGTGTGGAAACTGAGGTACAGAGAGGGGAGTGATTTGCTCTGGGTCACAAAGCTAGACAAACAACATGCAAGGACTCCAAAGATTGGATTCAGGTAAGCAGGAGGAGAGGAGAAGGCAGCCAGGAGAAGGAGGTGGCAGGAACAAGGGGAGCAGTTGCCTGGTGTCCTTGGGACAATGGCTGCCTGGCGTGACTGGAGAGGAAGTCTTTGGGAGCTGGGCAGTTAGAGAAGCTTCCAATACCAGGCTGAGGGGCCAGGCCAGGCAGGGCGGAGGAGGGTGGAGAGTGGAGGGTTTCCAGCCTATTCTCAGGTGACCCAATAGGAAGCCTGAATCGGGAGTACGGGGATGGAGAAAGGAGACGCTAGAATATAAGCCCTAGGTCCCTGGGGGCACCTTTCCCTCCCATCCGGACATAGAGGGCCTTGTGCTGGCCGAGGAGCAAGAGTGACTTCATAGGTCCCACAGACAAAGGAAGGGGCCTGGCCAAAAAGGCCGCTGTTCTCTGAGCTCCCCGGGGGCCGCTGTCCTCTGCAAGATGCGGAGCACACACTACTGCTCCCTTAGTCTCTCTCCAGGCAGAGCTTCTCAATTAGGGCTTTTTTTTCCCCATGGGACATTTGGCAATAACTGGAGATTCTTTTTCAAAAAGGCGAAACCATCAGAAGAGCATCCCCACAAGCTCCTAGCAGTATTCCAACTGCTTGGGTGCCCATGACTCTGCCTCCCTGCGCTCCTGGCCGAGCTGGACCTCCAGCCATGCCACGGATCCCACCCCAGGGCCATCATTGCAGCCATTCTCTCTCCTTCATCCTCCGTTCTGCCTTCTCTACAGAAAATTTCCCATCAGCCCAGAAATAGGCTGTTATTTCTTTAGTCTTAAAAAACAGCTGCTGCCACATTTTCTCTCCTGCCCTTAAGCAAAACTTCATGAAAGCATTGTCTCCACTTCCTTTCCTCTCCTTCTTGGAGGAACTCCAATTAGGCTTCCCACCCCATCACGTCACCAAAACAGCTCTTGTCAAGGTCACAAGGACTCCTGTGTTGCTGAGCCTGGAGAATGGTCAGTTCTCGGTTCTCCTGCACTAGGTTTAGTAGCCTTTAACATCACTGATCACTCCTGGAAACACTTTGGCTTACTGGGTTCTAGGACATGCACAGCTTTCCTCCTACCTCTTGCCCTGCTCTTTCTTGCTCTTCTTAACTGAGTCCTCCTCCCATCCCTGACTTTTAAAAATGCCCTGGGGTTCCAAGTTTTGGGGCAACCCTCCTCTTTTCTATTTACTCTCACTCTGTGGGTAATCTCATCCAGACTCATTAAATGCCATCCATTTGCTAACTAATGACGCTGGCTGTGACCTCTCTCTACTCCAGATTAGTAATTTGAACTACTTTCTCAACACGGGCACTTAGGAATCTAATAAATAGCTAGAACAATTCTCACAGGTTTAAAAGTGAACTCTTGACCTCGCCCCAAAAACACGCTCCTCCCAGCCTTTCCCATTTTGGTGAATGGCAACTCCATCCTTCCATCTGCCTTCATGAACCTCATAGTCACCTTTGGCTCCTTTCTTTCTCTCACACTTGAAATTCAGACTGTTAGCAAATCCTACTTGGCTCTACCTTCAGAATATACAAGGGGGCTTCAAAAAGTTTGTGCAAAAAATGGAATGAAAAGATAATAGAAAATTTCCATGAGCTTTCTGAAGCCCCCTCATATACTAATCGATGGCAACAGTAGTGAGTTTGGCCCAGGATCGGGCAGTGTTTCGTTTTGATGTGCATAAGGTCGCTATGAGTCAGTGCCGACTCGATGGCACCTAACAATGACAACATATACTACATTCCACCATTTCTTACTACCTCCACTGCTACCAGTGCTGGTTCAAGCTACTATCATCTCTCATCCAGATTATAACTGTTGTCTTCTAGCCTGGTATCCCTGCCTCCATCCTTGGCCTCCTTACAGTCTGTTCTCAACCGTTTAAAACCTTAAGTTATCTCATGTCACTCCACTGCCCCCAACTCACTCAGCACAAACATCAACATTCTCACACTGGTCTACAGGCTCTCATGAGTTTCCTCTATTATTATTATTATTAAGGATAGGAGGGCTACCTTCCTGATCATCACACCCCCTTCTCCTCTTCACTCACTCCATTGTGGCCACAGTGGTCAGGCCTCCTTTCTGTTCCTTGAACATGTCAGGCATGTGCCTACCTCAGAGCCTTTACCCTGACAAGAATGCTCCTCCCTCAGATACCCACATGGCTCACTCTCCTTGCTTCAATCTCAGTGAGATCTTCTATCTGAATGCTCTAGCTCAACATCCTCTAAGCTCCTTCTCTAGCCTTTATTATCTAAGGAACTATTCACTCTTCTCTCTCATGTCCTAAGATGCATGATCCATGAGTTGATTTTTGTCTGTTTTGCTCACTGCTGTCTTAGAACAGTGCCTGGCAGGGGGCAGGTGCTTGCTATATTTTGTACGTATATAGGATGAATGAATGAACGAACCACCAGGGACTCCATCTCTTCATCTGGAGAACATACATGCTAATGGGACCAACCCATGAGGTTTTCATGTGGGTTTACTGTCCTGGAACACAGTAGGTATACAACAAAGGACTATTCTCACCTTTCTGCCTCACTCCTGTGCTGTGTTTGGGAAGAGGGCTGAGATAGGTTGAAACACGCCCCACCTGGCTCCAGCCTGTGGTAATCCTCTCTTCCTGGGCCTTACCTGGGTGGATGTCTTGAAACAGGGACTTCCAGATGGTGTACTGCAGGGGACCTGTGTACTTGGAGGTCGGAAAGTCTTCGTATGTCAGGTTGGTCTCATGGATCTTCCCTTTGAGCCTGGAAGGAAAGCAGGCAAGCAGGCTGCATTAGGGGCTGGATTCCTGCCTCCAGACTAGTGTGGGACCCATGCAGCCAGCTTCAGGGCAGTTGATTTAAGGTGATGTCAGCCAGACCAGAGTCAACTGATTATGCCACTTCCTACAAGTCTCAATTTCTTCACTGAGTATGTGATGTTAGCTGTCAGCATTGATCATTACCCATCAAAATACCAAACCTACTGGCATCAAGTCAATTTTGACTCATTGGCAACCCTAGAGGACAGAGCAGAACTGCTCCATAGCATTTCCAAGGCTGATGGAGGCAGACTGCCCTGTCTTTCTCCTTTGGGGCAGCTGATGGACTGGACCTGCTGACCTTTGGGTTGGCAGCCAAGCACTTTAGCCACTGCATCACCAGGACTTATCAACAAACCAAGAATGAAGTATTATTACTAAGGACAGCTGTGAAAGTAGAGAGATGGATTTTAGTCCTCTCTCTACCAAATCTGCTGCACAAGACCTTTTTAAAGTGTTGAAGAGCAAAGATGGCAGCTAGAGGACTAAGGTGCACCTGACCCAAACCATGGTATTTTCAATAACCTCATATGCATGCGAAAGCTGGACAGTGCACTAATAAGGAAGACCACAGAAGAATTGATGCTTTTGAGTTACGGTGTTGGAGGAGAATATTGAACGTGCCATGGGCTGCCAAAAGAACCAACAGATTCATTTCGGAAGAAGTGCAGCCAGGGTGCTCCTTGGAGGTCAAGATGGCCAAACTTCGTCTCTCATACTTCAGACATTGTCAGGAGGGACCAGTCACTGGAGAAGGATATCATGTTTGGTAAGGTGGAGGGTCAGAGAAAAAGAGGAAAACCCCCAATGAGATGGATTGGCCAAGTGACAGCATCGATGGACTCAAGCGTGGCAATAGTAGTGAGTTTGGCCCAGGATCAGGCAGTGTTTGGTTCTGCTGTGCATGGGGTCTCTATGAGTCGGTATTGACTCAATGGCACCTAACGACAACTACCATTAACTAGATGAGCAGTCCTGGCCCATTGATATAGCATCTATGAACCTCAGAGTCTACATGTGTGAAATAGAGATGACAGTGGTACCTATGTCTAAGGAGAGCTTGATGCATGTACCCATCAAGTCGATTCCGACTCAAGGTGACCCCGTGCACGTCAGAATAAATTATGTTCCATAAGGAGCTCTGGTAGTGTAGTGGTTACGAACCGGGCTGTGAACCTTAAGGTCAGCGGTTCGAAACTACCAGCCGCTCCGCAGGAGAAAGATGAGGCTTTCTACTCCTGTAAAGATTTACACCCTAGGAAACCCTGTACAGGGTCGCTATGGGTAGGAACCGACTCGACGGCACTTAACAACAACAACATAGGGCTTTTAGGGACTGATTCCTTGGCAGTAGATCACCAGAACTTTTTTGGGAGGTATCTAGGGATAGACTTACTGCCAACCTTTCCATTAGCAGTTCAGTGGGTTACCTTCTGCACTATCCAGAGGGCTGGAAGAACTATAATAATGTAAAGCATTTATTTAATAATATATTATTTACTAGAAATAACATAAATAAGAATATGTTGTTGTTAAATGTCATTGAGTTGGTTCTAACTCATGATGAACCTGCATAGGGTTTCCAAGACTGTAAATCTTTTGTGAGAGTAGAAAGCCTCATTTTTCTCTCATGGAGCAGCTGGTGGATTTGAATTGTCAACCTTGTGGTTTGCTTATTCTACAGAGCCACTGCACTCCTTAATATATAATATGTTGTTATTGTTGTTAAGTGCCAAGTCAGTTACCTTGTGTGGGGTTTCCAAGGAGTGGCTGATAAGTTTGAACCACCAACCTTGTGGTTCAGACCAACTTTGCATTCCAGCACTTTATCCTAAAGCACCACACCAAGACTCCAATGTATAGCATTGTTGTTAAGGTCCATGGAGTCGGTTCCAACCCATAGTGACCCTGCACAGGGTTTCTGAGGCTGTAAATCTTTACGGGAGCAGAACGCTTCATCTTTCTCCCATGGAACTGCTGGTAGTTTCAAACTGCTGACCTGGAGGTTGGCAGCCCGACTTGTAACCACTACACTACCAGAGCTCCTTAATATGTAGCATAAGTAATACAATATATTTAATATAAGAGATGTATAGTATAAATAGCATAACAATTATAACATAAATAATAGGATTATAAATGTTATGCATTATGTTTATATAAAACATAATATATGTATAAAGAACATAATCTGTTATATATATATAATATATAAAAAACTTATGTATAAAGAACATATATTATGTTTTGATAATATATGTATAAAAACCATATAGTATGTTTTGTGTAACATATGTATAAAGAACCCTAGTAGTGCAGTGGTTAAAGCAGCTGGCTTTTTAAAGGATGGTGATTTGAATTCAGCACCCACTCTTTAGGAGACAGATGTGGCAGTATGCTTTCATAAAGAGTACAGCCTTAGAAACCCTTTGGGTCAGTTCTATAGGGCTGCTATCAGTTGGAATGAACTCGAAGGCACTGAAATATACATATGGTCGGTGGTTGTGTGCTGTGGAGTAGTTCTGACTCATAGTGACCCCGTATAGGATTTCTGAGGCTGTTAACCTTTAAGGGAGCAGAAAGCCTTGTCTTTCTCATGAGCAGTGGCTGGTAGATTCGAACTGCTGATTTTGAGGTTAGCATCCCACATGGTAACCCACTACACCACTACTGTTAAGTGCTATCAAGGCTGTTCTGACTTATAACGACCCTGTATAGGGTTTCTGAGCCACCAACCTTGAGATTCAAATGACCTTGCAGTACAGTGCATTCTCCTGCATTACCACACAGAACTCCATTACACTACGAGTGCCCTTGAAATATACAAATAATGTACAATAGTATAAAGAAACGCTTTAGCTTAGGCTCTGACACAGCACATGCCCATAAATGTTTGATGAAGGTTTGAATGAATGACGCCTCTGCTTACCTCCATTTGCCTCCACGAGTACTACCCTGTACTGCTGGGGGCGGGGTTGTCTGCTGAGGAAGATCCGGGCAAGTGGGGGCACTTACCGCTCGGACAGTGACGCCACCCCAGCTAAGAAGGTGTGCCGGTCAGTTTCAGCCAGCCGCTCTTGCAGGATCTGCGCCCCCTCCTGCACTTTGCGCAGCTGCTGGCTGTAGCGCTGGACTTTCTGCTCAATGTCAGTCAGCGTGCGGGCCGTATCTGCCTCCAGCTCCTCCAGCATGGCCTTCTGCCGCTCACGCAGCAGCCGGTGCAACCTCTCGAAGGCCTCACCGATGGTGGTCCGCAGGCTCTTGGTGGAAGACTGTGGGGGACAGTCATCAGGGGTTAGGGGAGGGGACGTGGGTGGGGGCCGCTCTGGGTGAGAGGCCGGAAGAGAGAACCCTGACAGGAAGAGAGAAAGGTGTGGGAAAGGGCATGTTTAGTGCAGGTACATGCAAAAACCCCACCGTATGAAAGGACGTGGCAGAGCAGAGGCGGCAAGTAGTTCTGTGTGGTTCATAAGGAAAGTAACGAGATGGACCAGGTGAAATAATGAAACTGAACTAGAAGACTAGCAGAATGAAGGGAAAGAATGGGAAAGAGACTTAGAAGGCAGATTCATGGGGCCCAGTGATTGGCTGAGAGATCTGAGAGAATCCGGTGTTAAGGATGTTGCTTAGATTTTGGGCTTAGTCTGGTAGAGATAGGGAGGCTGGAGTGAGGGGTGTGAGACTGGGAGAAGATGCTGAGTTCAATGTGGGGTACAATGAGGTCTTTGTATTTTGAAAAATCACCCCTGGGGCTCAAGGAAAGATGACTGCAGAGTGCCAGGCAACCATGGAGGACATCTATCCTGTTCCCCTGCTCCCAGCCCCACCCCAGCTCCATTCCAGGAACAAGGCCATTTTCAGAGAAGGTAATCATGGACTTCCATGTCTCGCTTTGCTTTCGTGGGCCCTACCAGGCCCAGGAGAGAATGGAATGGTGATAGTCTGGATGAGAATTCTGCCTCCCGGTCTCTAGCTGTGGCACCCTTAGATGCCTAAGATCTCTGAGCCTCAGTTATCTTCTCTATAAAATGTATAACAAAAGCAACATTGCAGGGTTATGATGTCTATTAAATGAGGGACATTCATAAAATGCGTAGTGCTTTTTGAGTCTCACAGAGAAAGAACTTGGTTATGAAAAAGCAGTCCATTCTAGTGGGAGTGTCCTAGAAGTCTTCCTTGAGAGGTGGCTTCTGGGCTGGGGCTGAAGGATGTGCAGGCTGTCAGCAGGGGCTGGGAGAACAGGCAAGGCTTAAAGAGTCAGGATAGCAGCGGCAAAGAAGTCCAGGCGTGTGTGGGCCCTGCCTCTGCAATTTCCCTTTGTGGGATTCTGCCTGGGAGTTCACAGAGTCAGAGACCCCCGCTGTGTTCAGTGCCCAGGGCTCTGTGGGAGGCTCTACAAAGGCTCAATTAGGGCCTGTTCCCTCCCCACGGCACTGGCAGCCTACAGGAAGAAGTGCTGGCACGGGGCCAGCCTTCCTGCGCATGCCCACCCAGAGCGCCAGGCAGACAAAGAGGGGACAGAGGAGTGGCTGGGTTGCCCAGCCAGGCTGCCTGTGGCCTCCCTGAGCCCTCTTTCCCGGGGGCTGTGGCTTCTGTGGAGGGGTGTTGCTGATGGGGAAGTGGGATCTGCCCCCTCACATTATCTAGAGCTACCTGCCAAAGGCCCCTATATCCCTTGACCAGCCTGTTTGGTTCCTCTGTGACAACTCGGCAGCAGTATTTGGACAACTGGCCACCCTTAAATGGAAAGTTTTTCTGTGGTTGCCTCGCTCTGGCTCCATGTTTCCTGGGGTTTGTCTGGCTCGCTCCTCCCATTCTCCTCTACGTGCCCACCCTTTATTCCACCCCACTGCTTCAAAGTAGACACTAGGGTCCACTTCAATAGCCTTACATGTCTCCTGGGCACTACACCCATCTTTCCAACAGCCTCCTCAACACATCCCCCTGGGGTTCCCTGGGGTCCCATTAGATGCAGGCTAAGGAAGACATCATTCTTACCCAGGGAAGAAGAGGACAATGGAAAAACGAAATATAGATAGAGGAAGAGAATGCTATGGAGAAGAAACAGACCATGATACTCCCCTCTCATCTTGGCAGAAGCTTCCATTTGTTCTTCACCATGTTTTTAAAAACAAAACAAAATCAACAAAACCAAACAAACCAAACCCATTGCTGTGGAGTTGATTCCAGCTCCTAGTGACCCTATAGGGTAGGTTTCTAAAGTTGTTACCTTTACCGAAGAAGGGTGCTGCATCTTTCTCCCTCAGAGTGGCTGATGAGTTCGAACCACTGATCTGTTGTTTAGCAGCCTAGTGCTTTACCACTTATAACCACTATGATTATCAACAGGTGGGGACACTGAAGCTGTGAGGTCCTTCAACTCACTCCATCCACAAGTCAATGCCATGACTTTGTCAACAAACGCATCACCAGAGTATCCTTCTGATGCAAACTAGGTCACAACTGATGCTTGGCTCCTTGCTGACAAGTAAAACACTGAATTCCTTAGCCTGGCATTCAAAATTCTTCTCAATCTGACCCCAGCTTACCTCCCTCTTGTTGTTGTTGTTGTTATGTGCTGTGGAGTCAGTTCCGACTCATAGTGACCCTGTACAGGGTTTCTGAGGCTGTAAATCTTTACGGGAGCAGAAAGCCTCATCTTTCTCCCATGGGAACAGCTGGTAGTTTCGAACTGCTGACCCTGAGGTTCGCAGCCCGATTCATAACCACTACACTACCAGAGCTCCTTAGCTTACCTCCCTGGAGTCACTATATTTCAATTCCAACTACCTAGAATGAGCCCCTCAAAGTCCTTTATTCAGCTGGCAAACTCCTTTACTCATCCAACAAAACCCACATTAAAAGCTACCTCCTTTGTGGTTCCTTCCCTAACTTTTTTCAGACAGGTAGATGCTCCCAAACATTTTGCAAACTATTTTAATATGCTGTTCAGCATTTCATGAGTCCTTCCAGGGTAGGAATGACATCTTTCTTCACCCTGCACTCCCCCATGCTCATTACAGGCTACTGCTAGAGGAAGGAAGGAAGGAAGGAAGGAAGGGAGGGAGGGAGGGAGGGAGGGAGGAAGGAAGGAAGGAAGGAAGGGTTCTATTCAAGACTGGGTACAGGTTTAGGACAAGGAAGGATGGGTAAGGAAAAGGGGAGAGACGGAGAGGACAACTCAGAAATACAATCTCAGAGTGACAGTCATGCCTGGAGCCTCCCAACCTGGCTTGCTAACCACCAAGTTATAGATCTCACTGAGGACATCCCAGGGGGACAGGCCAACATAAGGCTGGAATACGACAGACTGGTTCATGCATGGTCGGCACAGAGTATGTGACTTTAGCTATTAGTATTGATCATACCTACACAGTATGTTTCCAATTAATCATTTACTAGCATTGGGGCCTCAGGCCAGTCCCTCAACCCATCAATAAAGTAGGGATAACATTTCCTACCCCCCAAATGTGATTTTCCCCCTACTCATTTATTCAGCAACTATCTATTGTATTCCAGGCACCATGCAGAGACCTGTCGTTGTGAGGGTGACATTCTGTGGGTTTCTGTGAGATGATAAATGGGGAACAGTATCCCAAGAGAGAGAAGAGTTCTGTCAATTGGTGTGGGAGCCATTTACTCTTGTTCTTTGTAGGGCAGAACCACCCCAACCTCAAACAAGACCCTTCAGTACCACGGCTGTGAAAGCAGCCCCCAGCCCAGCTTGCCAGCCACCGCCCTGGAAATAAGGAGGAACTTGGACTGCTTCAGAAAAACACCCTGCCAAGAATGCGTCACCCCACCGGAGGAGGGAGATCAGATAGACCCCAAGGCTGGGCCACTGGAGGGGCAGGCGCTGCAGGAAAGCCGAGGCAGGCACCAGGTGAAATATGACCTCCAAAGCATCCAGAGGCATTTCTTGTATAAACACCCCAGTCCAGACAGGAAGCAGGGCTGGGGGAACTGGAGGGGAAGGTGGCCCCATAGGACCCCCCGGAGGCAGACAGATGGACAGGAAAGCGGGGGAGGAAGAGGTCAGTGGAGAAAAACAATGTGGGTGGGGAAGGCAGCAGAGAGAAGAAAATGCTGAGAAGAAACAGATCACAATATTTCCCTCTTATCCAGACAGGGGCTTCCATTTGCTTCTCATCACCTGAGGGGCAAAGAGATGGATGGAGAAACTGAGGCTTTGAGAAGCAATTGAACCAGTCATGGGACTGTTTCTTATCTGTTGCCTAACATAAGTCCTGTCCAAAGATTCTCTGGAATGTTCTCTGAAGGAATATTTGTCTTGACCTTCCTGAGACCCCACAGCAGGTCGGTGGCCAAGTTAGGGCAAAGATCTGGATCACCAGTGGCCTCCCCAGGCCCCAGGGTGACCTCCAGAGGCCCAGGCATTCCTAAGGTTCTGCTCCAGCTGCTGCTGGCAGCAACACCTCTACTAATGAAATGGAGTCAAGCTGAAATCATCTTCCAGCTTGGCAGCTGAGCCCTGGGCCCTGGTTCTTGGTCCCAAAAAGATGGGGCAGAAATCAAAGCAAGTCCTGCCTAATTAGTGAGGTATTTGTGGAGTATGGAGCACCTTGGGAGTGTTCTAGTATCCCAAACTTCAGGATTGGAAGGAGACAGGTAGAGTCCCCATTGTACAGATGGGAAGACTGTGGGCCCAGAAAAGCATGCCATTTACAAAGTCACATAATGAGCTAGAGGCTGGATCACATCTTTCCTCTCAAGTCAAGGAAAATGACTTATTTTCAAATCACTGTAGTAGAGACAAGGAACCCTAGTGGTACTGTGGGTTAGTCACTGGGTACTAACCTCTAGGTCAGCTGTTCAAACTCAACAATCACTCCACAGGAGAAAGATGAGAGTGTCTGCTCCTATCTTAGGAACCCTAGATACGTCACTAGGAGTCGATGTCATAGTGGGTTTTGGGGTTTGTTGTGACTCACAGCAACCCTGTATGGGGTTTCCAAGGAACAGCTGGTGGGTTTGAACCGCCGACCTTTCAATTCAAACCAACCTTGTGGGCTAGTGATTATCCTGCAGCACCACACCAGGACTCCTTGCGTTTGGTTGTTAAGTGCTGTCAAGTCCGTTCCAACTCATAGTGATCCTGCACAAGGTTTCCAAGGAGTGGCTGGTGAGTCTGAATCACTGACCTTGTGGTTCAAACTAGTTTGGTAGTAGAGACAAAATGAGTCCTGAAAGTGTACGGAAGTGCTGGCCTGCTTTAAAAGTTTAGAGGTTTGAACCTACCAGCCACTCCTCGGGAAAAAGATGTATGAGTCTGTTTTGATAAAGATTTACAGCATTGGAAATCCTTTAGGGCTCTTCTACTCTGCCCTATTAGGGTCATCAGCAGTTGCAACTGACTTCATGGCCATGGGTTTGGTGGTTGTGAGTTTTAGTATTAGAGACTGTGAGGTTTGGTCCTGCTTTTCAGAGTCTATACCTACATGACCTGAGGTTAATAAAAAGGCCTAGGCCATAAGCCATCAGAAAGACTTGAGAAATGAGCTTCGAAGGAGCATGCCTAGGGTTGGCTCCTCTGGCAATGGATGTGTTTAAAGAGACAAGATACATACTCCCAGCTCTTCAGGGGGCCAAAGGCTTCCAGAGGGTCCCAGCTCCCAATGCTAACTTTCACTCAAAATGGAAATGAAGAAAGGACCCCCATTCACCGTGGTCTTAACCCAGGAACCATCTCCAAGTCCTCCACACAGGCCTGAGGTTCCGCCTCTTTTTTCACCGCTGACCCCGCCCCCACTTCCACAAGCCACACCCCCAGCCAGGCAAGGCTCACCTTGGTCTCCGCCACCTGGCGCTTGAGCAGCTGCAGCGCTTCCGTGTGCTCCCGCTCGCTGTCCTGAAGGGCCTGAAGCTGCTCCTTCAACTCTCTCTGGAACACACATAAGGTCGGGATTGGGGAGCCGCCCAGGACATGAACTGGTACATCTGCCTCCTAAATATCTCCAGAATCCGCTGTCATCTTTCATCTGGATTTTTCCAACAGCCTCTTCTCCAGCTATCCTAGGAGCTCTGGTCTCCTTCTCCCAATCTACCTGATCTGGCCACGTGCTCCCTGCTTAGAATTCTCAAATTATGCCACCCTCCATTGCTACGACTAACTACTTGCCATTATTTTCCTCTAGGTTCTCAGCCCTCTAGTTCTATTAATTCATTCGATTTTCTCGATAATCCTTGTTGTTGTTATTAAGTGTGGTTGATTCAGTTCCAATTCATAGCGACCCTGTACAGAGTTCAGAAGAGAGACTGGTGTGTTTGAACCAATAACTTTTGTGGTTAGCAGTCCAGTGTTTATTCTACAGCGCCACACCAGGACTCCTCAATAACCCTGAGACACTATTATTAGTCCTGTTTTCTGATAGAGAAACAGGTAGAGAGGTCCAGAAATCCATAAAGCTAAGAAAGAATGTAAAGGGTGGGGGCATGGTGGCTCCACAAGCTATAGGGTAGGAGAAAGATGAGGCTTTCTGCTTCCACAAAGATTTAAAGCCTTGAAATCCTACACACGGTGGCTATGAGTGGGAACCACCAATTTGATGGCACATCACAACAACAACGACAAGCATGTAAGGGTTTGGGGTTCCAGAGACCATAATCTTAAAACCAGGTGACAAATTTTCTATAATAATGTGGACACCCATGATGAGAAGTAACAATAAAAACCCACAAATAAACAAAATACTAAAAATTTAAATAAAGACAGTGTGTGGCATCAATTTTTCATTTTTTCAAAGGTTCCAATACGGCTATCAGTATGTCACCATTTCTAATCTTTTATTTAAAAGTTTGATATTTTGTTCATCTTGGATTTTTTTTTTTTGCATTTTATATATATGTATTTTACATTCATTCATCCTATGTATATCATTTCATTGCCATGGTTACAATTCCCTCCATTCATCATCAACCAACCAAAGGGTATATCCTACAAGCCTGCCCCCCATGGTCGTCAGCACACAGCCCTTCTCAATAGTCTTTGGGTCTAAAGTCCTCAGCTGCTCCATCTCTCCATGTCACTGTCTCTGCTTCCATCTCAGGCATTACTGCTTCCCTGGGTAGGGTCCCGCTCTCCGCTTTTTTCCCTTGATGGTCCCAGGGACCTCCACTCCTAGACTGAAAAGTTAACCACTCCCCTCCTTTCTACAAAATGTCTACCTTTACATTTCCAACTCTCACAATCAGTCCTGATAACAATTACTCACTACTGTATCACAAGAGACCTATCCACATTTCCTTTCATCTGCCCCGCCTAGACAGATTGGATACTACTCAGTGGAGATTCTACCTTCCTCCACGCCCTCTGGATCTAGGTTCCCTCTTGAAAGCTTGTAAGCCAGTCACTTCTTGCCTTTGTAGCACCCCGCCCCCCTTTTGGGTAGTTGCATTATATATATATTTTAAATATTGCAAGAAATATTATATATCACAATTAATGAGTTTTGGGGAATGTACTTAAATCCTGTACCAAGAGCAAGTGCCTCCTTCATCTTGACTCACGCTATTCCCACTAGTCTCCTGTCCCTTGCAACTCCCATCCAGCCAAAGAGGCCTTCTTCGTTTCTCCAACATCTTTTAAAAATTATTATGATTGTGATTTTGGTAAACGTTTACAGTGCAGATTGGTTTTGCATTCAACAATCCATTCACGTTTTCTTTGGTGACATTGACTGCAGTGCCCACAAGGTAACAGCACTCTCCCTCCCAGCGTTTACCTTTTCCACTCACTCGTCTTTCCTATCCCCTCCTGCGTTCTGGGCTTTATTCCTTCATTATTGTGAAGGACTTTGCACTTGTTTCCTTTGCTTGGTGCACTTTACTCTCAGGTCTTCTTGTGATTCTTTGGTATCTTTTGTATTAATGTTTTAATTCAGGTGCCACTTCCTCAAACCGGTCTTACCTGAGGATTGCGTCACAGTGTGGATAGCACCTTCTTTCTACTGTCTGAAATGACCTGACTCACTTATTTGACTTCTGTGTATTGCTTGTCTTCCCCACTAGAATGTGAGCTTTATGAGGGTAGGAATTTTGTCTACCTTGCCCACTGCTCTATCCCCAATGTTTAGAACAGCGTTCAGCACACAGTAGTCTTCAATAGTTACCTGTCAAATGCATGGATGGGGTGGGGAGGGTCTAACCATCTGTAGTTTCAGGCATCTAGTCAATTGTATCATGGTTAGTTTTGCTTTCTGTCCTTCCTCCATCCTCATACTTGTCTATCAGTCCTCTAGAGGGGGCTGGCCCTGAATGTCCACTTTCTGTATTCCCCCCACTCAACAACAGCCTGGCACTGAGATGGGGCTTCAAAGAAGTTTGCTGTTTAAATGGGTTTCCATGGAAATGCTGAGCTCTAGCCAGGGCCTGGGTTCCCCAGTCAGCCTGGGTTGTACGTGGTGCCAGGGAAGCTGACTTACCTGCTTCACTCTCACACCCACACCACCCACTCCTTCATCTTGTCAGAGCAGGGAGGGCTCTCCAAAAACTAATTTTACAGATTAAGTAGTAACATGGGATAATGATCATGAGGCAATGCTATGGGAAGAATTCAGAAAACAAAATGATCTCTGCCCACTAGCACTCATTCATTCAACAAATATTTCTTGAGCAATTACTGTGTACTAGGTACTGCTGAATATTAAAAGTACCATGGACCACCAGAAGAACAAACAAATCAGTCTTGGAAGAAGTACAGCTAGATGCTCCTTAGAAGCCAGGATGGCCAGACTTTGTCTCTCATACTTTGGACATGGTATCAGGAGGGACCAGTTCCTAGTGAAGGACATCATGCTTAGTAAAGTGGAGGATCTGCAAAAAAGAGACCCCCGATGAGATGGATTGGCATGGTGTCAACAGCAATAGGTTCAGGTGTAATAACAATTGTGAGGATGGCACAAGACAGGGCAGTATTTTATTCTGTTGTGCAGAGGGTATCCGACTTGATGGCACCTAACAACAACAAAGACACTGTTGAGGCAGTAATGATACAGTAATGAACAAGATACAGTAATGAACAAGTCAGACACAGTCCCTGTCTTCAGGGATCTTCCAGTCTAGTGGGGAAGACAGTCAGTAATCAAAGAAAATAGTGAAAGAACCAGATAATAAGCAGATTATGGTATGTGCTTTGAGAAAAATAAAGCAGTGTAAGGGGTGGCGGAGGTGCACCTTTAGGTAGGGTGGTCAGGAGGTTTCTCTGAAGTGATAACACCTGACATGGCAGCTAAAGGATGAGGAGTTAGCCATGAATATAGGGTAGGCCAGAAAAATGGGAGCAGTTGCGCTGCAAGAGTTGAATGCTTGTGCAGACATAACGGCTGGAACTTTGGCAGCCATTTTAGGCCATGAGGCAATTGTAAAGATGGAAGTCATGCACTGAAGAGGGGGAAGAGGAGCAGAAGGAAGAAGGAGCCTGGGTCCCTGATGATTATGGGGCAGTCACACCACCATTGAATTCAGTGATGTGCCGGGAAGTCAGATCTCCAAGGGGCAGAGAGAGCCCTGATTTGTAGCATTTGCCAATTTCCATGGTGCAGTGGTCCCATAAATAGAAAATTTCAAGCTACCAGTTCTCAGGAGCTAGTGGGAGCCTGGAATCTTTTTCTATGCACTTATTTAACAGGAGAGAGAAACATAGCCCCATTTAATTTCAGGTATGTTAGTCGGGCCTCTATTACAAACAACTGAAAGTCTTTCGTAATGGAAGGATTCATGGGCATAGAGAGTCCCCAGAGTCGATGACTCTGTTCATCTAAGAGTGCAGATGACTACTCCTCAGGCCCTTCCTGCCAGCCAGCCTGGGACCTATCCAGCTTGGACAGAGCCTAAGACAATAGCTAAATGCTACCATCACCCTCCCTTGGTGGTTTCCATGGGTCCACGTAAGGCCTAGCAAGCCAGGCAGTTCTTTAGCATTTCTGAAAACACTGTCCCAGAGGCCACGTTCTTCACATTGCTCAAGATGGACGCCCAAGATACTTGGACAAATTCCTCCCTGCTTTCTCAGTCCAGAGAACAATGAGAGCTGACCTGCCCCTTTCTGAAGGCAGGATCAGGAAAGACAAATGAACAGGACAGACTTCCTTCAAGTCTCCAGGATGGGGTTAATGCATTCCACATGGTAAGAACTGACTGGAGAGAGGCACACCTGGCGTGTACAGGACGAGGCACTCACTAGGGGGTGGTGGAATGGGTGGGCTGAGTCATAAGCCAGAAAGGCCAGTTGGGGCTAGCTGGGGCAGGGTGTGAGGTAGAGGAGGCCTTGAACATCAGCCTTGGGGCGTTAGGTTCTCAGGGTCACATCAGAGCTAGGGGCAGGACTCAGAGGAGAGGGGAAAGAGGCCCTGGGAAAGAGACACCCTCAGGGGCAGAACCAGAGTTTCCTCCTAGAGGGGCAGAGTCATGGCAGGTGCAGATCAGTACACACCATTATGCAAATATACACACCAGCTGAAAGCTTCTGGAGCTCCCATTGGTTTGGAGGCCAGGAGAGAGGCAGCAGCAGGGAAGAACAGAGAGCTAAGGCTCAAATGCCTCACCTAGGCCTCCTCTCTCAATAGGTCACCTGACTCCCTAGTCTGGAAATAAAGCAGCTGACAGAAACTATCTCAGCTCTGATTTCAGGGGCCTTCTGCCTACACCTCTTCACCAAGCAGCAGTGCCCATAGAGAGGCAGCATGAGCTCTGGAGTCAGAAGAACCTGGGTTTGAATCCTGATTGTGTGACCTTGGGCAAGTCACTTCTTCCCTTCTTGGGGTCCGTCTCTCAAAGCTTCATCTACAATACGGAGATAAGAGTTCAGCCATGGGGTGTGATGAGGATTAAAACAGATGATATCTGTGACAGGCCAGGCTCTGTGCTCGGCACAGCGTCCCCCCT